CGCAGCTCTGACGCAGACTCAACACGCACGTACTCCAAGATGTGCAAAAGTGAAGAATGATCCGAAATACAGACAACAGCTGGGGTATAACCCCCATCGGACTGACTGGACTGGACTGGACTGGCCTGGTACCGACAGTGGTATCGGGCAGGGTTGGACTGGACTGGAACAGCACACGGCCTGGTCCCACAGGCCGAACAGGCAAAGAGCCGAATAGGCCCTGGCTGTAGGCCAGGGCAGATAGAGGCCCGCTGCATAAGACCTCAATTCTGACGGTTCTCTTACCACCACCAGGATAGAGGGCTTACACAAGGGCTATTTCGCAAAAAAAAAAAAAGGACAAAAAAGGACTAGTTCCGAAGTTCGGAACTATTCGTAGAAGAAAAAGGGGAAACTATGCAGGAGTCACAAAAATGAGTTATAATTGCACTATGGGCAAGATACAGTTTCGAATTGCAGTTCGGGCAATGTATACAACCCTGCTTTCTGGCCAGGTAGGGTGCCTGAAGTGCAATTGCAAACTGTGTCTTGCCCCATGATAGTGCAATTATAACTCGTTTTTGTGGCTGTTCTGAAGTTACCCCCAAAAGAGAACAAAAGCAAGAAGTTGGGGTTCACAGTACCCCCAAGGCATAGTCTGGCATGCATGGACCTCCCACAGGGGTCCTAGAAGCTCTGGATTGTGTGACCCTAATTCAAAGTGTCCTCGGGGTGGGGGAGCGGAAACCAGGTGTGTTTATGGGTGAGTTATTTTTATGCCTTTCCATTGTCTTTGTCTGTCTGCGTCTGGTTTCTGAGAATTTTTGTCTGTACTGATTTTTGTCAGGATAGGACTGTCGTTGCAGAGGTTTTTTGGGTTTTCATGGATTTTTCTGGTCTGGGTTGTGTCGTTTCGAACAAGCGGAGTACTATGGGCTTCGCCACGCGACTCTCAAAACCGGATTTTTAATTTATTTATTTATTTATTTAATTATTCATTTATTTATTTATTTTTGGGAATACCGGATAAATTTTCGAGACCGGTCAGGTGATATCAAAAAAAAAAAAAAAAAAAAAAAAGAATTGTGGTTTTGATGCTTTTGGGCTCTTCAGAGTCTTCACCACACCACTCTCGAAGCAGCTGCCTGTCGAATGTGTGGACATCTCTCGCACCAATGCAGACAAAAATCCGGCCTGGTCGGGGATGGACCTGACAAATCTCGAAATATGAGAGGCCTCTGAGGGCCGGATTGAACACTCTTGAAGTCGTCCTTGTTGCAGGCTGGGATGGGCATCTAGAGGCCTGCTGCAGGCTGGGAATGAGCATCTAGAGGCCTCTTGAAACCCAATCCCTGACACCTCTTGAATCTTTTGGGGGATTGGGTATTTGTTGGGTGGGGGGGCCGGGGGGGGAGAGAGGGGGGGTGATGCAGAAACTCTCGGAACTCGTATTTTCAAGAGTAATGTGGCGAAGCCCCGGTTGTCCACCACATTTATACCATGTTGAGGCGTAGCAGACTTTTTGTCTGTACCTGGGCTGGAACAGGTTTGTCCTGTAGTAACTGGTTAGCCCCTCATCCTCTGTGGACTGGTCCTGCTGCAGCAGCAGGCAGCAGCAGGGATTTCTGGACGTCAGGCTGATCGTTCTTAGGCTGGGGTGAACTATGAACTAGGCCACGACTAGAGCCTGCATTGATAACTGTAGATTGTGGTTGAGGTCTGTGGCCCTAGACGCAACCCGAGTGGACTTCCAGTAGGCCCATTGGTATGTAGCTGGGCCAGTGCTCACTTTCAGCACAGAGAACTCAGCATGGCGGGGKTGGCTAGGCCACGACTACGTAGAGCCTGCTGGATAGCAGCGCTGTGACGCCCAACCTCACGCCCAGCGCGACTTCCTGATCGGAGTGGGATGTGGGCCTGGAAGTGCGAAAAGGGGTGTGCCAAGGATTTTTGGGGAAGTGGGG